GCCCCCAAAGCCATGACTCAGTGGCCTGTTCTCTTTGTGCACCATACATGCCATTTAATCCCCCTCCTCTATCAATATTGGGCCAAAGTTAAGTGATGAGCCAATTCATCCACTCATCCTTTCATGGGGCAGTTAATATTTACTAATATAAAGCAGACCTCTCTGTCATCTCTCACCCAAACCACACACCCGGACCTTGTGTCCCTCCCCCAAAGCCGACACCCGCTTTCTTTCACAGCCTACTTCCCTTTTGCTGAAAACGTCTGTCTTTCGTTTCTGTTCCTCTCTGCCGTCTGTTAAAGCCATACCAGCGTAAAAGTCCCCATTCTATCCGCCGACTGTCCCCTTCTCACATGGGGCCTCTGTGATGCCCCAACCAGAGCAAGTCACACACTTTGTTTATCCTTTGTTGGATTCACACATACAAGGAATCCTAATTATTATCCTGAATATGATATAAGCACTTAGGGTGACTTGTCTATAGATGTGCCCCCTTCCCCCTTTTGTGTTAATGTTGCTACTGCCCTTACTCATAGTCAGATAAACATACGCTCCTCTGGAGCTCTCGGTCATTTCTTCTGGATTTACCTGCCACCATGTAAATCTCCAGCGGACGGGTCTCCCACACATCCCGGCCGCCTCCCCTCTTACCGCGCCGCTACCTAGGCTACTAATCTTGAGATTAGTCGCACTCGGAGCGAGAGAGCCCGCTGTCGCTGCATTTACAAAACACAAAGATGTATGGTGAGCTGCTCTACGTCTCCTGCCGTCACTTTTTGGGGCACGGGCCAGAAAATAAACGCTCTTTCCACGGGATTTTTTCGGTATTTTTACTTGCCAAAACGCGCACAGTATAAACAAGCTGTTACAAAAAAAAATGCTTATTACAAAGAGAAGTGCATTTGGGTAGAAGATCACTTGTGTGCAGTTCTTGGGGGATGAAAAACAATAGTGTGGAACTTAGTCTTGGTGTCAGGTTCTTAAAAAGGCAGCCTCCTTTGTGCCAAATGCTCTTCTCTGGCTGTCTCAAGGAACGTTTTAGCGGCAATCCTCTTTTATTTGGCTAGCAGACAGAATATAAGCTATTTAAGCTGCCAGTCCAGCCTTTACCAAACCGAGATAAGTCTCTTTTCAATGTCCCGGGACCTTAAAAATAGCACGACAGCGGCTAGCGTACAGCAAATAACACGGCTGCCGGGTTGTTCCTTGTGCTGCCTTTATACACCTATACCTTTGGGAGAAGAGTGGTCTACCAGATAAGTGCAGAAAAAAAATACATATACTTACAACTTTTAGTAGGCCTACATGAGAAACAGGTGAAAAGCAAAGGAGTTTTCAGGAAATATACATCACCCCTGTGACAGCATTTTTCCTTTGCGTGCCCGAATTGACTGTATGATAATTCGCAATCTGACATTAGATCAGTCCTAGATAAAAGCCGACAGCGAAACCACAACTGTGCTCTAGAGTCTTTATGAATAAGGTGAAACCTCCGGGAAGAGTGTTCGCAGTCATGAAGATGCATTCGTTATGTGACAGTCCAGTACTTGATGATATTGCATTTTACTTAAAATTGTATCAGTTTAATTAAATTGCTTTGCTGATGCCTATTTGCCCGAAACTTAACGCCACATTTTTGTAAAAAAAAGTGAGCAATTGCTGATGCAGATTGTCAATTTTAAAGTTCATTCTTTGAGAATAAAAGTATGTCCTTAAGTTCGATATTAATTAGGCAACAAGCATAAGAATTGCCGATACATTACTTGGTTATTTATTAGGAAATTAATTAAATCATGTCGGGTAATACTGACATTTAGCTTCCTTTAGTGTCCACATGATGTCTATTCTGCTGTTGCGTTATTTTTCTTAATTGGAACTTTATTTGAAATGCTTTATTGAGGACATTCTGTAAGATAATTGGTTGTTAGGGGCAGATCGTGTAGTTTTAGCAATAAAACGGCGAACAATGAGTTCAGCCTGTAGGTTACACTGAGCCATCGAGCCAAATTTTTTTAAACCAAATATCCCGATGGAAAGCTTCGGCCACGCATAGAAACAGCGAAATATCTGTATAATTTGAAAATAAAAATTACATATATAAAATATACGCGGCACACTATCAGAAATTCAAGACTACACACCACTTTGAGTGCTGTTAAAGTTACAAAATAAAAAAATATGGAACTATTGAACATCTTATTTAAACGAATTTTGTTGTTATCAATACATGATTTAAATTCATCGGACAGGCGGATATAGAAAATGGATGGATTGATGATAATTACGTTGTGCACTTTGCCTCTTCTTTTCCCAGTAATTGTTTTTTTTTTTAAATTTTGCATATTGCTTCTGATAATTAATTTTATCAAGTGATCTGCTTATGTGCTTATATTAATTCGAAATTTTTCAAATATTCACGTCCTTTATTTAGGTGATTAATAAAAAAATTCAAATTAAAACACACATGTATACAAGCCGATTACAGTTACACCGTGCATTTATTTAAGAATATATTTAATTTAACTGACTGTATTCAATCGATTAGCATACAAGATTAAGATTTACGACTATGAAGAATTTTTATTCATCAGTACTGTCGCTTATACGCGTGGCACCAGGATGGTCTGCAGTATAAGTTAAATGAGTTAATGACGTTTCAACCTGTAGGGGCTTTGGGCATAGCCTCGGGCTGACCTTGTTGCTTACGTGCTCTAATGGTCTGCATTTTCTTAGTCCTTCATCACCTGCGTAATTCCACCACGACGGCACCGGCTCCAGTCCTCAATCCTGTTAATCCCGAAGCGCGAGGATGTGCTGCAGTTTGTGAAACTGACGTATTACTTTGCATTACCATGAAGATACATGACAACGGATGTACATCTGAAAATGCATTTCTCTGCGATATAAATGAATTATACTATAGTGGTGCCGTCTATGAACTTGTATTTTATTTCCTTCCTGGATTTTAAAATGGTGCAAAATTAAGAAACAACACTGAAATTTGTTTTCCCTTGAATGAACTAGATTTTAAAGGATTATTTAAGTTCGTAGCATTGTAACAAAGTAACTGTTACTCCGCTGTCATGGCCCATATTTTACAGTGAAGAAAATTAGCATGACTTATGGTTTATCATTGGTTTACCAGTATCACGATAATGGAACTTGTGTTGTTTTTTCTCCTTTGCACAAGCAATTGTCTGTTTCCGACTTAAAACTATATACTACTAAAATCTTTGATATTGTTGGTATTGGTTTTTTTTTTTATAAGAATGCAACAATTCCCTGATTCCAGTTATTTTTTCAAAAGTTTCTCATTTTAATGCTTTGCACTGTAAACACAAATTTTTAAAATGCATATTTTACAAATTTACATTGTATGTTCTTGAAATTGAACATAGGACATGTAGGTGTTCATGTCTTCGCGCATCGCAAGAGCGCGGTAAAGCGCCTCTGGGGGGGATTACCGCTGTCTATTTTCATTCGGCCGCGTGGGGCAGCTCGCGCTGCGATGCACTGGAGATTAGAGGATCACCTCTTGTTTGTTTTTGTTCTGGCCATGATAAGTTTAGGCACACCCAGCTGGAACAGCGGATAAAGAGATACAGGTAGAGATACACTTGAGAAATATGATAATTGCTCAGTTTCTAGAAATCTCAAATGCTTTATTTCCAGACTGTTGACAATTACAGCTCTAGAAGTCTACAAAATCAGTAAAAATGATGAAAGAATCCGTTGCAATCGCTGTATTAGCAAAGCACCACGTACTATAGCAGTCTTTGGTTATAGCTATGTTCAAAAAATGTAAATATGTGTATTTGGGAAGACGGCTAGTAACTAATACAAGATTTTAAAATCATAGCTATATATAGCTATGATTTTAAAATCTTCTTCTTATTATTATTATTTTTATTGTCATTATCATCCTCGCCGTCGTCATCGTCGCAATGTCATAGCCTAATAGTATAGTTTGTTCACTTAATGCCGTTACATAATGTGTCAAAAATGATCAAAAAAAGCTTTAAAAATGCCCTTTTAATCGAAATTATATAAACTAGCCTAAATCATATATTTTTGATCATGCTGATTTGCATTTTAGTTACGCAAATGTTTAAAAATACATTGGTCGGAAGAGATAATGGTATCACTGACTTTTCAAGTTAATGTTGTGCAGGTTTTTATGTATGACTAATTGAATAAAAACCTGAAGTTTTACCGATAATACCGATAATTCTTCTATCATCTTTACCGTGTCTGTGTTAGCTTCACATCTGAATTTCGTTATCTACTGTATGCATATAGGCCATACTTTTACCTGCTCTTCAAACAGTATAATAATAATAATAATAATAATAATAATAATAATAATAATAATCTATTTGCAATACTATTTTATTTCCATTTGTACGTCACAGAAAATATTAATGGAATTATAAACTAAACTTAAAGAGCAATCTAAAGGTTCAGGTTAAATATACATTTTTGTCTATATGCGTAGGTTCCCTCGAAATGCAATTTGGAGTTGCATTTCTTAGCTTTAGGTGTAACTTGTACTAATTAGTTCTAAGAAGTTCTCTAAACGTACAATACGTACATTCACGGTAGCCGTGTCGTTAATCGTTTCGATGAAAACTGGCCCCGCTAATTTCATATGCACACTACGTTAATATATGGTGCCCTTTGATAGCCGCACACTTGTAACCTTTAACATCCATGAAATGCTTCAGTTACACGATTGACGATTTGCCACCCATATTCCTAATTCACTTCAGGTGTTGTTTTCGAAATAAAAAAAAAATGCTTGCGTGTGTTCAAATCCCAACATAACAATCACCTACTGACGACACATACACGCTGACTGAAATATCAAATGTTGTTCCTTTAATAACTGATATACATGTGTTTCTCTAATATCGTTATAATAACAGTATAGGCCTACGTATTGCTTATATTCGCTTTAGATATTGAAATTGAGCTTAAATCACTAAGTGAGTATGTTTGCACAGATGAATACTTAAATGTCGAAAATTTTCCCTGCAAGATACTTAACTATTTATTAGTGGTCCAGCATCATCTTAAATCAAAATGACTGTAGGGCGTTGTAATTATTCAGGCAATGAATGTGAACTTTCGTGTTCAGTGTCCATTAATGCGTTGAAGCTTGTCCGAGTTTTTTTTTTTTATTACTCCGTTCTTCGCTGCAATTAGACCCATCCTCCGGAGCAAATCTTTTGATGCCTGAAAAGCCAGTCCAGGCTGACCTGGGGACTCCGTGTCCGGAGGCGATTCACAGGCCGGATTCTGATCGTATTGAAAATAAACGGAGGATACTCCAGGGTGGGTTTACCAGCTGGGCCCCTCGGTCCACTTCGGTGCCGCGTCCTGTGAATGAGAGAATCGAGTTGTAGCGGCTTCATTCAGCGTATCGTTTGCAGGTGATGCCAAGCACAGATAAGGAGCCGCCGATCCTTGTCGTCTGTCTAGACTTGTGACTTAACGAGCGAAACTGGAGTGATCACATCACAAATCCCCCGAAGACGCTAATTCGGAGTCCCGGAGCTCCGGCAATGAAGCCACCCACTCTCCCAGAAATAAACCCATGTCAATCCAGAAACCGCCATCGCTATGTCAAAAGCGGCCAGTGCACGAGGGGCCACGTCTGTATATTTAAGCCGAGTTCAAATGACGTTCATTGACAGTACTATGGATAGATATTACTTGCATATAAATAGGCCTATATTTTAAAACCCACTTTTGATTTTTGCATAGGCCTAATTTTGACCTGAAAGTTTGTTGTGGATAGATTTTAAGAAATACTCGTTGCACATTAATTGTATCATTTTGAATATAAAACGAATTAAAATATTTATCAGAAAGGTAATGAATTTATGGAGGACTTGCATAGTCTATGCCTACATGATATTGTCGTAAACAAAATAGAACACATAGAGCTTTTGCATTTAATTCTGGGGAATTAAGTAAAGTGGATTAAAACCATGATTTGACCCATAGTTACTTTTGCTTTTGCTAAAGTCAACTTCCGGTGGTTATTACCACGTGTACGCATATATTCATTAACTGTACACGTGTTGTTGCTTCAATACAAACTGCCTGAATTATGGGTAAAATAATTAATAATACACAGCGAACAAAACAATATGCAGTAATATATTGCAATTTTCACGTAGCTTTTGTTTTAATATTTAAAAGATACACTTAATAATTTTGCTCAATGAATTTTGAAAATATCGATTGTAGACTTTGAAATCACTTTATAATAGGCCAAAACATGCTAGACTTGATTGACTAGTGGCGTTCTTGCTTAAACGTAAAGTAAATCTGCAAATTATGGGAACGTTAAAATCTACGTGGTACTTAAGTTTCATACTTGATAATTAAAGTAAAACGACCATATGATAAATTAATTATGCGTTATGGTTATGCTTTGTTTTGAGATAAATTGGAATTGTGCGAAATTTGGTCATAAATAAATAAATAAATACATGAAACAAATATCTACTTCTTCGATACAAACCAGTTCTAACAAACGATCGTGTCGGTACATGAGGCTTTATCATGCAAACGTTCCTTTGACATAAAACACAGTCAGAATTTTGTTGTTTTATTGTGTTCAATGATTAATCTGTAGGAAGATTAATAGTATTTTCTACCAATAAATAACAATAACTTACTTCTCTTTGAGCAGCTCAAACAATCTGTCCTCCATCTCTTAAGATAAAATATTTTACAATCAGAGTAGCTTTTTATTGTCTTCGGATATCATGCGCAGAGAGACAAGCACAGGGGGCTTTGGACTTCAATGAAATCAAAGTGATGAAATAAAAAAAGATCATGTTGAGCAAACAAGACAATGATGACCATGATTTTTTTTAAAGTTCATAGATTCAGTACAGAAGAGTCAGTGGCCCGTAGTCAATAGCCGTTGATTGATTTGTAAATCCTCAAAGATTTATCTGTCCCTCCTTCTGGATAATGTTGATGCAGTAATATATTTGGGCACATTTTCCAAACATCCCATATCCTTGGAAGACAAACAAATCGGTGTGTTAAGCAATGCTTTGCTTTTCGTAATTCCGTATCGTCCTGCCAGTCCATTATTCGGAACGTGACTCGCTTCCCCCCTTATGATGCGCTGTTGATTTCTCATGCAGATAGCGGGAACATGCTAAGATGGTCGGGGCTGGGTGCTGGGGGCCCATTTCACGTCTCCACTGGGCTGGGTACCATACTGTTTGGCGTGTCTGGTAGCTGCGAAGACAGAGATGTAACGTCGCTGCCCGACGAGTTGACCAAGGAACCCGCTTCTGAGAAAGACACCTACACGGGGAGGAAAGGGTTTAGCACATAAAAAAGCATCAAATCATATGAAAAATGTAGACATATGTGACATTTTTTGTACAGGGCTGAGTTTTGAACAGATTCCAGACAGAAACTTTGTCCACATGCGCACAAAAACACACATGGTACTCCGACAACATTGGTAGGGAGTCGTCACTACCGTCCACACCCAAATCTATGCCCTTCACTCACAGTAAATAAAGTTTAGACCAAACAGCACACTGGTAGCAGCGAATATGATGCACCAGATTACAAATGTCAAATCGTGATTTCAGCAAGGGGGAGACAGATGCTCTGCTGTGTGTGCGCCATTTTTCAGGTCCCCACGAAGATCTGTGAATGCAATCAAAAAACTAAGAATGCCAAAAGTCTTGTATTTTGTTTGCTTACTTATGGTTAAGGTCAGGGCTGAGTAGGGGTTAAGGTTGTCATTTTTGGGATTATGGTTTATCTCATTGAAATGAATGGAGAGTCCCCACAAAGATATGAATACAAACATGTATGTGTGCGCATGTGTGCACGTGCTTGTGTGTATGTGACTACTGTAATCATACCAGCTGTTGAAATGCAGGCTGGTCCAGATCACTCTGAAGGGCAAACTCGCTCAGAGCCTTCCACGGGGGCTGATAAGTCTGCACCTCCACCGGACTGGCCTGGACGGTGCTGTCGTGTCTAACGGGACTCCCTGCCACAAGGGGTGTCCCCGTCAGGCCCTGCAGATTCTAATGGGGCAGAACACAACATGTGACAGTGTTTCACGAGAAGAGACGACGGGCGCAGGCAACTCAAACAAGGTGCGCTGACGTTTAAGTACGAGTGTGAAAGGGAAGCTGGCAGTCACTTCATTTAACGCTCTCGGCCTTAACCAGACTAGATGTACACACATATATTATAAGCATGACAGTTTTATTGGCCATCGGCATGGCGCCCTTCCGTAGTGCCCCACGCTGCCTGGGATGGGCTCCAGGCCCCAGGCACCCTGACCAGGCTAAGCGGTTAGAAGATGAATGGGTGCGTCATACATTATTACGCTAATATATATATTACACATTACATTATTAATCGGTGTAATATATTATGTTAAAAAGAAAAAAGTGTTTCACTTCTGTGGTATAATTTAAGCAAAGCAAAAATTAGTACATGGTGATTTAATCTAAGTGTAACATATATCATATGTAATGAAAATTTTATTTTAAGTGCCATGGTAAGGAGTAGGACCATAATAATTAACCAGTTTAACTGTGGACCAAATTGACTGTGCGACTGAATCAAGAAAATATTTGGAGTGGTTTGAACTGTTAAGCTGAACTGTTCAAATATCACTCAGCATAATGCAGACATTTATATTATTATCAATAATGGCAACCATATAACGACACTTAATTCTCTGTTGATTGAATAATCCAGATATTATACGATATATCAAAACCACTATTTCAATTGTCAGCGCATTTCTGGTTATATTTGTTATTAAGTTAAAATATGAAATGACCACATGACCATATCTAAATGCACAAAGCTACGCTGATAATAGGTATAGATTAATGATCTCGTTAAAAAGCTTACCGATTTGTCGCTATGTTGCTGCTGCTGTAACTGCTTCATCAGAATGGATCGCTTCTTGTCTTTGCAGCGTTTATTCTGAAACCAGACTCGTATAACCCGCGGACTGAGACCGGTCATTTCCACCAGCTGCTCCTTCATTAGGGCGTCCGGCCTGGGGTTGGCGTTGTAGCACGTTCGCAGCGTGTGCAGCTGCTTCTCGTTCAGCACCGTCCGCACTCGAGTGGTCTTTTCGGACTGCTTATGGACATTTCGGTGCGGCGGCTGCCTCACTGCCACGGGATCTGTTACACAGAGACACAACGAATTGACCTGATTTCTGAAAGCTTTGCTTTTCCAACATGTTGAAGTTCAGACCACATTAAAACAATTACTGCATAAACATTTAATTACTCCGCAGGCGGCTCCTTTAAAAAAAAAAAAAAGGATTAATTTACGATTACTTTATTGTAATATTGACCTACGATTACGTTATTGACTTATGCTGTGCAATTTTGTTCAAATAATGTTACTTTAACTTGAAAAGTAGAAATGGGCCTAGTACTACTTCAGAAAGCCTTGCTTTTGATATTCTTAATTAATATTTGTATAATTAATTTATTTCAGAACAGGTAAATTCTGGCCCTAGTCTAACTTACAGGTCTATATGTATGCAAACAAAAGTACGTGAATATTCATGCAATCATACAACAATGTTTATTTCAAAGAAGCTTTCCGAAGAATAACACAAGAAAGAAAATTCCGCTCACTTGACGTTAAAAGTTCAAAGCATATGATGAATTAACCATCATTCCTAAAGGTAGAAAGAATGCACAACATTTACAATTGATTCACTTTAACGGGCGAATTTAAACAATTACGAATTTATCTGCCTTTGAAAAACTAAAATTACACTAATTTATGGTACGTGTCCATTGATTTCAAGACCTGAGGTTGGCCTAGTAGCCCGAAAACTTTGTGAACTATACATCTTCATAAGACAGCGGAAATGTCAATATTGTTAAGATGAATAACTTACAGGTCATAGGACATCAGCGTCGCCAAAACCGACACCTGGACAATAAGTCTCTCAGCGAAAGCGCAACGCCAAACACATTTTTGCACGCCTATCAAATACATTTTATTGACAGTTGTATTTCGGTGTTTATAAAATAAACAGGACATAAATTATAACAATAAAAATGACTTGTAAGGTAAAACATAACCTTAGTCAGTTTTGCCGGCAACACTGTAACCAAACCAATGGCTTACTGTGCATCACCGATTCTCCATTACGATCAATCCTCATACTTCCCTAAATACTGAAACGGTTCACATTACTAGATAAAACGAAAAGACGCACCTGCCATATGAAGAGCTCTGTTCGAGTGGAAATGCTCTGGGCTGACGGGGCTGTCGGCGGAGCTGCGCTCCATTAGAAGCCTGTGGTCAGCCCGACAGAGCAGCTCCTCATCCCGCAAGGAGAACTCATCTCCCGGCAGGAGCTGTCTGCTGCACACGGAGCACCGGAAACACTCGATATGATACACGTTGTCTCGTGCTCTCATCACCAGGTCACTGCTACTAAAGCCAAGGTTACATTTAAAACATTTTATTCCAAACAACCTGGAAAGAAAACGGCAACACATTTTAAGTATATTATTAAAAAAAACAATCTTCAAGTAATCAATCAATCAAACCACTATTTCGAATTTTGTTTATGGAAAGATACATATTAAATATACATTTACGATAACTACATCTATCTTTCGGCTACTGGAAAGATCAATATATTCATTTGCTAATTTTAAGCTGATATATATTCTTTTTTCGATATAACACAAGGTTTAATGAAAGAAACAAAAACAATATGAATTATTTTATATCAAGACTAAGGCACAAATAAACGAAACCAACAAAGGGGTTTCAATAAATTAGTTAAATAAATACCACTATTCTTTTTTTCGCATTTAATCGAATTTAAAGAAATTGTAAAAGCTTAAGTCTTAGTCATATTTTATAGGCATGTATATTGTAACTGATAACAGCTTGCGCATGACTATTCGAAATCACATTCGGACACAAGGGGAAGCTTCGCACCTGATATAATCTCTTTTGCAGTACGTCTTCCCATCCCTGACAAAGCAAGTGCATGTTTCATCCAGGTACTGACTGCATTCGGCACATTTCAGACACGCGGCGTGCCACTCCAGGTCCGGGGAAACTCTAAGTAGGTACTGGTCCTGTATCTGACTCCCACAGCCAACACACAAAGCAGATCCAGGCTTCTCTGCAGAAAGTGAACAAAACGCAACCACCGGTTTCTTTACAGGCCACCGCACTCTTGAAATTGAACTTCGTGCACGTGAATATGTAACATGCACGCATGTATAGTGTTCGATTATGTTGTTCGATTATGGTGCTGCATAATGGAATGGGCTAATGGTCAAAACAAACCGTACAAATAAGCGAAACAGGTTTGCTAACATTCAGACATCAGTAAATTTTCATTAAAATTGCACAAGCACAAGAAACTAAGAACTTTAACTTTGTTGTTTCAGTTCAGTGACTACAATCATGCAATATATCTGTTGAGTACACTTTCAAATATGTAGTTTTGTGGCTTGCACCTTTAAATACTCGGCATTTCAGACATCGGTTAAACATATTTCTTATAAAAGCTATCGTTATAATTTGACTTACGCTTGGAATGATCACCCATATCACCCAAGAACGAGGAGCAAAAAATAATATCCACCATGCAGAACCGATGGCAGTGACGGGAGACGAGAAAGGAAGCAGTGAACTGCCCGCCCGGTTCCTCTTCTGGCTGATAACTTGTATTTTCCAAACGGGAGCGACGGGATGAGCCTGCATTGCACTACAGGCGGTGTGACGTCACGCACCAACCCAACACGCACGTGAACGGGGCGTTCGCCAAGAAAATGCATCAAACGCACACGTTTTTACAGTAGTGATTTCTCATGACACAGGAAAGTAAACACAGTTTTTTAAGGAATGATCCAGGGAAGGGAAGATCAAACACTTGCAAGAGTGAGATAATGTTTTTATTCGCATATAACCTGTATAACATACCTGTGTGTATTTAATATACCATATATACATTTAATAAATGCCATTTGTATTACATGCATCTAATGTATTGCAGCTGAGATACAAGGGATGCATGTATGGTTTATTTTCATTTATATCAGTTAAAACACACCTGGGCAAAAGCTCGCGCGCGAGCTGTTATTACTGTCGGATGCGATCATAGAAATGAAAAAAAAATCCCAAGAACAATCACAAATTCTTAACTGCTACTTTCATACCGGCACGCGAAAATGAAATTCTACGAAGAAGAACAAGTCTTCTATTGTATCTTTCATGGGACATGAAAATAACAAAATATGTCCCTTGCTCACATGACGCTCGATTTGGACCGCCTGAGAAAACAATTGCCTAGAACTTGAATCAAAGCCCTCATATATATAATATTTATACACAAACAAATTTATTTGGTCTACAATTAAAAACTTTACCATTGAAAAAAAGGTCCTAAAACAGAAAGAGTTGAAATGGGTCTCTACTATCGATTTTCGAGAAGAGAGACCTCTGCTGGAAGGAAAGGTGAACTAGGACGTTGGTTTCTCACCTGTGAAATTTAAGATACGCAATTTCTTGCGTTCTAATAAATTGCTAAATTGAAGGCAGTGAGTACAGTTTGATCAAACAACTATTCAAAATGAGAGATTGAAAACATATAAAATAAACTGAATTACATTACCTGACTTTTACTTTACTGAATATGTTCTCAATGTTTTATCTTGTACGAAATAGAAATATAGCCTGTGAGTCAAAAGAACAAATTAAAGGAGAAAAAAAAAAACACTTTTTGAGAACGATTTACAGAATACACACGTAGTCACACCCGTCTTAATTTTATTAGCTGGCAACTTACCAAGTAACCAAAAGATGCCGCATACATGCGTACAGTAAATCCGCAGAAACGATTTTAATATTAACCTACATCGAGGCGCGAGGATTTTCTCTGAACTTTTCACACAAGCGCACGACGCAAGCTTTAACATTATGGCAATACAGTTTGGCTAATTTAAACGTGGAAGGTCCCAGAAGAGATGAAAAACAACGATTAAACAAAAACATATTTGAAATAGCCTACAACAAGACAGATGAAATGATAAAATAACGAATAAATAAAAGTCGTTCCGCAAATGTCTAATTTTGCTAAGTCACGGGCATGCGCAGACTAAATTGTAATTCATCGTTAGATTTATAATTTGTTTTAAATTACTCATCAGTCAGGAAACTATTAACGATGCATAGCGTTAAATGCAACCTGTAGTATTTTTTCGTTTTAACAATAAATGTGCTTTGAGGTTTATAAATTTTATTTACGAAATACATTCCTAAAACGTTATGAAAACGAAAAGTGCGCATTTTCAACTGCTGTAAAACTACCTTGATGACAGACAGAAATAAGACTCTCTTTTGTTAAGGTTATGCAATATTCAATATTCATCTGAAATGATAAATATTGAAAAAACACACTTCAGAAAAAACCCGGGGATTCTAATTTTTAACCAAGCCAAAAAAAAAACCGCGGATTAAAAAATTTCGAGATATTTCCACTGTTCTTTAAAATCAATCGCGCTAATTGCCTTGATTAATTAAGTATATGGTCAAAGAAATTGTATTTTCAAGGTATTGGAAGCCAAGTTTTCAAATGTGCCTTGGTCGAAACAGGAGCAATGCTCGTGCCCTTCTCAGCATATTACCCTGGGCAAACCATGACCCCCTGCCGAACCTCACCTTTGACATTGACCTACAACCCCACACAAATAATTTAAAGTTTCAATTAGAATTAGTAGATGGAGGAAGATTCAGGATTACTGTTTGGGCTTAACTACTCAGGCGGCATACCCAATCATTGTCTTATCCAATTAGTTTATCTTAGTTTATCTAATCATCCCTTTTGGTGTACATTAAATAAGAAACCAACCAAACATTCACCTCACCATGAATATATTTTTAATTTGGTTAGAATATGATTATGCTGCAAATTTTATTCCCGTTGTATCTACAGCATTACGAAAAGCAAATATCACGCAGATAGCATTAAAAGCTCCATTATTTTCAGTTTTATTAAAGAGCGTTCGCTGAACGAATTTGAAATGCTTTAGCAGTTGAATCTATAGGCTGCATCGCGTGTAGGTCGTGATATACTTTTATCTAAATGAAATGTATTTCGCGTGATTACATTTTTAAATTATATATACTTTGTATTCCATAGTTCTTGGTTTTCATTTTAAACATTACAGGAAATTTCTTATTTGGTTAGTCAACATGCAGCACCGAAGAATAGCTATTACAACGTTTTACAGGTCATTGTGAGCTTAATTAGATTTTAGTCATAATTCCATTTTTATGTTCCCCAAATAATATGCACATTCTAAACTAATAAAATTAAGTCATATGGATCGTTATTCTTAGGCTATATCATCAAGTATATTTTATATTACGGAACATTATAGTATGAAACGCTTTGATATAAACACATGTAACTATTAATCTTTGTTAATAGGGTAGGCACACCTAATAATAAATCTAGAAGTCAGCTGCTCTTAACAAAAATATGTCTCCAACTGTATTGTGTAAAGTTATTTTGGTCACACATTCGAAGTGGCAGATGGAAATCCTGTCACGGCACTTTGTACACCGGAGTCAAACGTTAGCTGGCTGCAAATTGCTCATATTATATCGATAGGTATGTGTATGTGGAGCGACCCAGGGTGTACCCGCCTCGCACATTATGCCTGTCTCCCGGGATTACTGCGACGCTGATTGGATGCTGCTTACTGAAATTTAAAAGTTGGATATAATTAATAAAAGTAAGAACGGGCATCACTAAGCCTCATGTTGGGTTTCCCAGACTTAGCTCCTTCGGCTCATTTGCTGTCTTTTATTCCGACTCACTTCATTAGGCTATTGATTAGGCATGACCTGAAACAAAATATGGATCTTGATATGCAAACAAAAACATCTTTTCCTTTTTTTGTAGTCTAACATTCAAATAACGTTTTTTTAAATCTTAGGAATCAAGATAGAACATTCGTCTACGAATAATTTAATTGCCACAATTTAAAAGAATTATTCATTTAAAGAAAGCACACAAAATAATATTAAAATAAATAAATTTTAATACAAGGGAAAATCATCTATGATTTCACAACGAGCGCATGGAATACCACAAGTGTTAATAAAGCCAGATAAATTAATAGTTTAACTTAAATAAAGCCAATTGCAAATACGCTCCTGTAGCATAACAAGTCGAACATGGAACTGACAACACTAAAGCTTATGGGTTCAAAACCCAGGAAGCACACATAAATTGTCACCTTTTCCTCTGTAGAATGTTTTTTGACAAAACGCCACATAGCCTAACTGTAATAAAAGTAATATAGTCTACGAAATTCCCCAAAAATCAGTGTGCAGACTTTGCACTATCTATTCATCACAAGAGAATACGTAAATCAACTGTAAGCAAAGCCTTACTAAAACTAGCGGTTCTACTCTCATACATAACGCGCTACATTTGGACATTGCAGACACCGCTGCTCAAGCTGACTTTTACACTCTAATAAAGTTTTTGTGCATTGAACGGAAGTGCGTGTAGTCCGTTTTATTCTCGCGAGAACACGAAACTCCGGGTTCCAACCTTTACCGGAGGACAGCATAATCTACAGCGAAGAAATGTTTAAGGCCGTTAAACAAGTACATTTCAGGCATTTGGTAAGCGCCAAAATGAATTCCTACGTTGATTAAATTGCTCCACCGCTGTCGTTAGTAATGACGGTAGTTTTCGAATATATTGTTTACAAAACATAAAGACAGACGGACAGCTGGGATACATACAGCTGGTTATCTGCAGAAGGTCAAGGCTGCCACGCACGTTCGGTTATTCGCTTTCTCCACTGTTTCGTAATTATACGTTTTATTCAGTTGGCCACGATCTAGGGCATTATCTTCAGCGGTTTTATTGCACTATTTTAATAATATGTGTTTTAGAGACTCATGGTTGTGAACACCACTCACATAAGTAATGGATTTGTTACGGCAAGCTTTGACACTGTAAACTGGACTTTGCATGCTGCTGACACATTTAAGGCAACACGTTACACATGCACCTAACAGCTATTACTTATTTATTCGCAGTATTGTTCATTGCTGTTTGTCGCCCTGTTACGAAACTTGAAGCAATGTTATGGAAGAATTATCTATGTGGCAGTTTGCGAAACGTGAAGATGACCCTTTGTATGCGAACAAAATGGCCTATTGATTAAACTCAGTCAGTCAATCATCACCCGAAATGGTTTTTGAAGAAGCTGACTTTAATATTAGTTAATTGTAAAACCTTTGTTTGGCAGTTCGTGTTTTTTTTCTCCTAAATTGTTCTAATAATACAGTTGGTGAAATGATCCTTTATTTCCCATTTGCACATGTACTTTGGAAAGTTTCTCTTTGCAAATCCCATCTTCTGTTCCTTTGAGAGAGACATACAGACATTCACTGGCCACTTTATTAGTTACATCTGTTCCGCTGCTTGTTGAAGCAAATATGTAATCACCCAATCTTTTGTCAGCAGCACAATGTATAAAATCATGCAGATGCTGGTAAGGAGCTTCAGTTAATGTTCATGTCAAGCAGCAGAATGGGGACAAAAGGTGATTTTAAGTGACTTTGAATGTGGCATGGTTGTTGGGGCCAGATGGGCTGGTTTGAGTATTTCAGAAATTACTTATCTGGTGGCA